AGGAAGCGGACCACGGCACCTTCCATCGTTGGCTTATGTTTATAGTGTCAGCTGCACTCTCGCAAGCGAAGTCTTGGCGCGCACAAGGCTCAATTCTTAAAACTTCTTGCCAAAATTCGGAATTTCACGCCTGTCGAGACTGTATCCATCTGTCGCATCATCTAGTAAACTTGTCCTGATCCCTCTCACTTCCATCTTAAAGAGCTGTCTCCCAGATTTGTGCGCCACGCTTTGCTTCCTCCGTCGGGTATAAATTTTGGCGTGGGCGTGTGTTTGCAGACTGGCTGAGGCCAGAGAAAGTCGACGAGAGGTGTGATCATTGGAATAAGGATGTACTAGGTCGTACTTGTAGACTTGATGAGACTTAGGTGAGAGTCAAACTTGTTGGGAGCGAAAAAACGACGTGGTGGAGTAATTTGAATTTTTGCCTCGTGGGCCAACTTCTTTGATATTGCGAAATTTGACTGAACTTGGATGTAGGAGAAAATTTCACTCCCAGGTTCGTAGAGGACACCGCGTAGAGATGTTCAGTCTTGCCCTCCACCATCCATCCATCATGCAAGGCTCAAAGTTGAGGCAGAGTTTAATTCCTATTTATTTCATCTCTGAGATTTTTAGGGCAGGTCTTTATGTAAAGCTTAGAAAGGGAAAGCCACTTTGCTACACGTAAGACTCCTTCCCAGGTTCCCAACAAAAATTTCTTTGGATCCCTTGAAGATGCTGGAGCTCGAGGGGGTCTGTGGGTGGTTAGGTGGCACTCTAGGAAGTGCAATGGAGCTTTGAGCTGTCCGCAGCCACACTGAAGATTAACGCTGTCGTGATTGAAACGGCGATGGTATTCTGCAAAGTCACCATGTCTTGAGCGGGCAGCGTAAAGTCTAGAGAGAGACGGTCTGGCTAGGGAGAGTTCCTTAGGGTGACGAGAGTATGAGTTGATGGCAAGCTCCCTATAGGAAACTGGGGCCTTTCGGTCCCAGTAGTTTTTCATAGCCGTCGATACTTTTGCTTTGATGTGATTTTTCGCGGTATCAAAAGAAACTTACCCACGAGGTATGGGCGGGGGTTTTGAAAGTCCCTCTCGGGCAGAGGCGTCGGCCAAAACGTTACCCAATATGCCAGAGTAGCTTGGGATTCAATAAGCCTTGATTTCCCGGGAGGTCTTTTGTCGATGAGTCAACGGCACAAAAGAAGTTGGGCTAAGCTGCCATACAGCAATCACACTCTGTCAAGACTTTTCTGACATTTCAGCACGAACTTCGGGAAGGAGGCTAAAATTTCAGAGGGTTAATGTCCCGAGGTACTCACAAGTCTGCAGCGCCCAGCTGGCCGGCCTCTTCGAACGCTTCAGAAGGGGTAATATGTCTTCGGATTTATCCCTAATGTCGGTATTAGAAGAGCCCCGCACCCAGTGGTTTTTGCGATTTTTCCCGGCTGCCATACACCCGCAAATGGCCATCGTTTCGTTGACTGGAGAGGGGAGATAATGAAGGGCCGAGGGCTCCTCTAAGTGTATGATCGAATGAGGACTTGTGAGGGGTGGTACTGTTTGAGGGGAGCTGTATGGGAGGCAGAGGAGGGGATATACTACTGGCATAGGTATCCTTGGCCTGTAGGCAAAGAGGACCTGCATGTCATACATTGTCATAGACTCAGAAACGACGACAAAATGAATTAATAATAATATTAATAGTCGTAACCTGACAAGAGCCCAAAGCAGTTTTGCAATGCAAATACGAAGTGAGCACATGGGGCTTAACTCGTATTTACACAGAAGAAAAGTAATCGGAGTATTAAGTCCAGGCTGTCCATGTGGCTACCAATCACAGAACCCCAAGCATATGATTATGTCCTGCCCCCGATGGTCAAAGGGTGGAACTGAGATCTGGCGATAAGCCAAAGATCGATCCTACGAAGCGATGATAAACAATCCTGGAGATGTAAAAAGCATAACACAGTGGATCCTAAACCATGGTTGTATAGAGCAATTCTAGATGGCAAAGGCGGTCGAAATGCTGCTGAGGGAAAGGAAAAGGTCAAGTAATGCTTGGGGCGGATAGAGATGATCTGGTTGGTCTACATGTATGGCACTAAATTGTAACTGCGCTTCCTGAAGAAAATATGTGAGAACTATAGGCAACAAGTAGAAAGGTGTGGGAGGTTTTCACTATAAAGGTTTCCTCCCGGGTAAAGATTATAGATTGTAGACACCTGCATGGGCCCATAGGGCGCCAAATCAGGAATAGAAATGAAATTCAAATAATTTTAATAGTATGTGGAAGGAATGGTTTATCAAACTTGCTCTCTAATTATTCTTTTTCTCAACCCGTAATAAATCCCACGACTCAAAATCCATCTGATCAAGCTCATTTAATCTCGAGATGCCGGCATCCTCACCCATGTGGATCTGTCCAATGAAAATCAGCAACAACCAGTATCACTCCTCCATTCCTTCATCCCTTGATAACTCCAAGCCTATACCATCAAGCTCGTCATACGGAAATAGCAAACCTGAACCTGTAGCCACAGCTTCAAGTTTGCAGTGGGTTTAAGTGGAGCGCATATTCGTTCCAGGGGCCATACCCCTGTTAGCGCTTTATTCGACAGAGTACACAATTCTTGTCCTGGATTTCAAGGCCTAGACTAAGAGCACAATTTAATTTCTTGTCAGTCTGTTTTATGCATATATAGCCCTTAATCTAGGAGGACTATTCTCAACACCTGTAAGTGATGTTCCCCACGAACCTCCAGCTCTTACTGTAGAGGCTGCAGAGCCGAGATTGAGTGACACCTTTTCAACTTTGAGCAAGGTTATCTCCCCCTCCGTCTTATTGGTACATATTAAGTAAATCAATTGTCAAAAAGACTATTAAATTTTAAAGTTATTTTGTTTTCTTTAGCAGTCCTTCATAGTCATAGACTCAGTAGGGACTTAAATTGAATTCTAATCTATTCCCCTTCCGTCAAAGATACGCTCTTGATAACAGATAAGACGACCAAGTCGACGATAATGATGCTAGGAATAAGGAAGGATAATGCAGTACCAAACGCCTCAACGATAGTTAGAGAAGCCCTCATCATATTACAATATGTGCTACCCACCTGCGGGCGAATAAAGAGCCCACAAAATCGAAGAAAAAGTCCCTTCTGCCCTCAAGAAAAGCAAATTTCAGATTCATGGGCTCCATGAATCTGGCAAAATTCAGGCGCAGACTACCGCGCAGCTAGGAATTTGTCGGGGACAAGTTAGTCATTCACTGCGCCGCGGAAGTGTCTCTCCCAAAAAGAGAAAAAGAATATCCTCAAGACTGAAAGCACATGATGCTAAGCAGACTATGTCTCATGTTATGTCTCCACCTGAAAACCGCTGCAAAACATTTCTAAAACTTGCCTCTAGCCCCTTGAGATATCCTAGTGCTAGCGAGCAGGTAATACAATGAGAACTTTAAAAAAGAGGATATCAATGATACGTGGCTCGTCTAAAGCCTCCAGTATCTCAATAAACTGTGAAGACACGTAGAGAATGGGCCGAAGCTCATCTCAACTGGACATATGAAGACTGGACGTCAGTTTTATGGACAGACGACACTTCAGTAGAGAATGGAAGAAATTCAAGAGAAAGGATGATAGGAAATGTTCCTACATTCCTCTTGAAGATGATAGTAATTTGATGCTCTAATGTTACGATCTAGATTTCCCAAGAATTCAAAGCTGGTGGTCCGTGGGGGGATAATCGAATAAGAGGGTCAGCTGGATGTTCTGAGGTTGCTTCGCAGAGCCAGAAAAAAGCCTCTGTTTATTTTGGGGGAAGGAGTTGGGATCTATTAAATCCCAAAATTATAGCGAGAAAATAGCTCCTCTTATTGATGGCATGATTTCGATGAGACCTTGGCTTTCCGTAATGCAGAAAAATGCTTCTGATCCCGCAGTAGCACGCACGATGGAAGGTATGAGCCAGAAGCTCATTCAATCGATTTTCTGGCCGGCCAAATTGCCTGATATTACCCTGATTGAAGCTGTTTTGGGACAGGATGAAGAACCTTATCCAGTCTCATCATCCGAATCTGGGTTGCGGAAAGCAGCTAACTCAAGATAGTCTTCGCAAGATTGTAAGGGAGGCATGGGATTCCGTGTCTTTCGAAGATGTTGTGAGACTCATTCGGAGTATGCCAGCAAGATGTCAGGCTGTGATAGATGCGGATGGGGGACCAAATCAGATATCAAGGCCTGAAAGTATTCCAGCCACATGTTCAGATCCAAGGTAAAGATAAGACTGGGGTTCTTATTTGTATTTTGAAAACCTTTGAACTCTCGTAATTAAGTAATCGAGTCAAATAGCAAAAATGCACCATTGTTATGCAACCGCTCATTGTGCCGATTAGGTTTAATACGGAGGAAAGACCCATTACAAATTATGGCGTCCTAAAAACAATTGCCGTACTTATGTTTTCAACAAGTGCGCAAGTATGGAGGCTAACCTCAATGTGGAAGATGTCTATGCCCAAGTAGGCTTAATCAACACGCTAAAGCCCCACTGCAAACTTGACACCGTAGCAATAGGGTACATCAATATCTCCGAAACTAATCACCGGGGAGCCGGATAATACCGGTTGCCAGGCATAGGTTCAAAAACCGTCGCGATGCCGAGAAACCAACTGATTTTCTGCCAATGTAGGACGATCCTGAATGAGGATTCCGGATCAAGGTTTCCATCCACTGTAAATATTCCCCATGCTTTTGCGGAAGCTGATACAGAGGTATATCTTCCTTTGAATGTGCCTAAACATAGGTGCCAAGATAAGAGGCGACGGCACATTAAAAGCCGGCGCGCTCGCACCGTGAAGGCGGGTCGACCATGAGTTCGACTAACACGACCTCTGCTTCTTCGTCAACTTTACGGTGAGATAAGTTTCCTCAGCTCGTGAGACGAGATGGACTAAATGCCAGAGTCCTAAACTAAAACTTCGAAACCAAACGATATACCCGAGAAATAGATAGTCACGATGAAGATCCGCCTTTTATCCGCAGTAATTGCCTTACTCTGCGCCACTCACTCTGCAGCGACGCATTTCCTGCGAAAAGAGTTTACTTATACCGTTACGGCTGATTTAGTTGGATATGGAGATAAACCCGAGCACATCGATCCTCAGGCAGCATATTATTGTTCCAAAACCCGCCAATATAGCCAAGCTTTGATAAATGAAGTTGTAGCATTTTCAAAAGCTAAATCGGTCTATCGTTATTATCTTAGACCCCCCATCAATCTCACCAAACCCACATATCCTATTCAGGTCGTCATAGATGGTTTCCGCGTATACGAGAATTTTATAGTGCACCCTATATCACCCAACCCAGAATTTTTCTATAATCGTATGTTCATTTCCCTCTTCGTCCATTCGACCCAACTCATGATTTTCAGCTAGTGTCGAAGTTAAAGATTACGTAATCATGGACTATGAGTTCAACTTTATAACCATCGTCTACACTTTGATTGAACAATGGGAATCAGTAATATTTAATCAATGCTTTCCACTCATTCCAACCAAACCTGTCTCGCAAGTTTTCCTCTACTATCCAGGCTCGCCTCTTGGACTATCAAAAGCTATTCAACCTGACATAGTGCCTGGTAGCGAAAACAAAATCATCAATTGGGTACAGTATTAAGGTATGATGGATTTGCTAGCATTAAATGGGTTGCGGTAAAAAGCTTCTGATTGTATTATCTGCGTTGTCTATCCCATGTTTTTCCTCCATATTAGAATGTCTACGTGCCGAGACACTAACGCCGTACCTTCCAAATCTAGCCCCTGCAGTACCATCAACTCCTTTAGGAACTTGTACGAAAAGAAACCGTAACATACAGGCTCACTAAGCTGGGCGGGATTTTATTTATTTCATTCATTTCTCTGGTTTAACGTCCTATGCGGTATCTATATATAGATCCATGAAGACGATAAGCTGCTTTGGTTAGGGAAAAGGCTTTCAACAAACAAAACCCGATGTCCTACCCCTCCGAACCGACCCGGCTTAATGCAGAGGACGTTCCTTTCAACCACAAATTTATAAACTTTCCCCGAAATTCATTAACTCCCCCTTCGATCAGACTAACTTTATGAAAATTTAAAGGAGGCACCTCCTCGCTCGGCGTTGTTCTTCATAGTGTTCGAAGAGTTGGCCCCGATGGTGGTGCCGCTGTAGTGGGGATTTTGGTGCCACTGGGGCTTTGACTACCTTACGTGGTCGTCCCGGACCTCTTTTGAGTCCTTCAGTCTTTTTACTGGTGACCAAAGTGAATCCCTGATCATCAGTTAGTCCGACTGTTCGTGTTGGCGACACCGTAGCTTTTTTATTCCATATTTCCGCCCTTATCGATAGCAGCTCCATCCGAGCCTTCTCCACACTTCCCTTGTAGACTTGGTAAGTCCGACACGCTGCTTTTTGCCATGAACGGTGTTCCTTGCCGCAGTTGGCACAAGAAACTCTTTTCTTCGGACAGTCCCGAGTTTGGTGAACGCCTGCGCACTCACCGCACCTAGCTGTCCTTCCACATGACGCCTGCGTGTCTCCTCACTGGCTGCAGTTATAAGACTGCTTTGGCTGGGCCCGTGGTGACCACACCTGCGCAGTGAAGAGTATTGCGTTGATTACAAGGCCCTGCCGAACTACCTCCGTTTGCATTGCCTCCGATGGGAGGCTGACCACAATTGAACCACGATTGCGACCGTTTTTCTTCGATCGCTGATGTTCCTTTCCATCATGTAGCCATCGTATTCTGCTAATTACCAGGCCTGGAATACGTGCCTTGGTCGCCGTCTCAATCTCCCTGATGATGGCGTAGTTGTTGGCATCTCTGCCACCCTCAATTCTTGTCCGCAGTGGGACTCCGGAAACCTCAACAGGAAAGTCTTGCCGCAAAATTTTAAAATCCGTTGGTTGTCGCATGTTAAGCGCCGCGTCTCTCTGGGACGCCGACTGGACAAACACCTCGGTGTCGTTACTTCGCATCTGTCGAATTGCAAATGCGCCTTCGATGTGTTGTTGTGCCTTTGACAGCAGCTCTTGTGGCTGCAGGTTTTGTGCGCCATCGATTCTTATCCTAACCGCTGTTTTCGTCATTTGCGGAGCCACGACAGACGCGTAGCTCCTTTGTGTCGGCGCGCCCGAAACCACTGCTGGTGCAGCTTTTCGAGCAGGATCCGCGAGGCTCTTTTTGACAACCTCCTCGAGCGCCATCATCCTCTCCTCGATAGGAGACTTCTTCTGGGACATTTCCGTCCAGGCCTTTTTGTGCGCGTTGAAGGCCTTGACGGCGTCGTTCACGTCCTCCATTGAGGGTAAGTCCTCCTCATCCATCTCTCCCATTACGATTAATCTAACCTGTTTCAGTAGTTTCCCCAGGGTTTCAAGGTTTCTATCCTTTGGAGCTGTCTGCGCTCCGCTGCCGTTGTTTTTTGAGGCCGTTGTCGCATTATGCCACGCGTCGAAGCCGTTAGATTTACCCACACCAGCACTCGCGCTCGCCATGTTGGAGCACGGAAAGCGAAAAGATGGGAAGAGGGTAATGAAGATGGATAAATTATAATCACCATGTCAAATTAATGATACGGGCAGCGTGGAAGGCTGCGCAGCTTTCCGGCAAAAATGATGTTATTTTGCGGGCGGATTTTATGTATTTGTTTTTGATTTGATTTGTATTCATTATCTTGACCTGGCACCCTGTGGGCCCATGCAGGTGGCTATAAGCCTATCTATATATTTACATAGGAGGAAACCTCTGGTTGAAAACCCCCCAAGCTTTCTGATTTCATTCTTAGAGTTTGCAATTTATCCTTCAGGAAGTACAGCTACACTGTGACGCCGTCGATGTGTACCAATCACGTCCCTTCTATCGACCCCAACTTTGTACATGTTCTGTTAGACACTGAGGGTCAAATGAAAAATGTAAAGTAAAGTTGTATTGATGAAAGTCTGTCTGTCCTAGTCTAAAGAAAAACTACTGTATATACACATGCCTCCTGAAAATATCTACGTGTGATGATGAAATGCATGAGCGTCTCCACACAGTGTATCAGGACTGATACTTTCTAGAAACATCGTGGTTCTGCTTGAGACTGCCCTTCAAACACCCGAGGAAATACCCCAACCCAAAACAGCTCTCATTGATGCGCTACGACTCATCAAACGACGTAGTTTGACCAAAGCTATACCATTCATACAATTCCATGTTTGACATGTTCCGTCTCGTTCCCTGAGCAGTATTTCGACTTTATTGCTCATGCGGAGTTGTCCTATCCAACCATGATTAAGAATCAATCATGTGATTCTTTTCATATCGCTAGGATCGTTGGTCATTGCTTCAAAGGATCGATTTCGGGCTTGTCTCCAGATTTCTCCTCCACCACTTGACCACTTAGGGCAGGACATGATCATGTGCTTGGGATGTTATGATTGGTAGCCACACGAACAGCTTGGGTGATAAATTCCTGGTACTTTTCTTTTGTGTAAATAAGAATTGAGCCCGATATGCTCACTTCGAATTTGGATTGCTACGCTACTTTGGGTCCTCGTCAGGTTTTTGTGGAGAGAAAATGGGGACTCCCGGAAGATTATTTTCGTACGTCCAGAATGGCGGCATTGGTAGAACTTTGCTGCTGCTGCTCAAGTTTTAGGATCTGCTGAAGCAAATTTTTTAGGCAGTCGAGTTCGCTTTGTGGCGGACCAAGATTTCGCCCATTCTAGGTACGCTGTAACCCTTAGCGCTTCTTATTGTAAGTCCTTGGATTTCTCCTCTCCGCTATTTATTTATCGTTGGAACTTCGTACCAGTTGCTTACTCTAGAGCTACACAATTGTCGGTGATGATTGGCAAGGCTGCTTAGGAATAACTTGGCGCACAATTGCACTAGACTGAAATTGGTTTTAGCGTCAGACAAAGAACACGAGTAATATGTAGAAATCTAGATGTACATTCTTTAACATTCTGACGAATAATATAATAAGAACGATTTACGTGAATAATTTATTTGATTGAACTGCTACAAAGTACTTTGAAGCTGTGCCTATATTCTTTGAGTGAGTTTCCTCTTAGAACCCATACACACTTTCCAACATTTATTTATATTATATTAACTAGGCTATATGGGAGCAGGACGATGGATACTCTTGGGGAAGTTATGCTCACAGTAGGTCTCTATAGTCGCTGTCGCGTGTGTTCTCGTGATATGTAAGACTTGACTCTATATTCTCGTATAAAGGAAACTTAGTTACAAATAAATGGACGGAGGTCGAGACCTCCTTATATCTTGCTCCAGACTTACTGTGTTGTTCACAGCCTAGTGCTAGAACATTCCCTTATGATATCATTTCTCTCCTACGAGAAATGACCAGCTCGTTCTCTCTCAGTCCATCAGTCTCTCGCTGATTCCGTTATCTCTATTCCATCTAGTTCTGGTTTGGTCCAGTATACCCACACATGCATCACACACTAAACACCCCACGGTTTAGTTCCACAGTCACGTGCATATGCTATGACGCGACCTAAAGCATGTACCATGGTAAGTTGCATGGATAACACAACAATTTATAATACTTGACATCGTGCCCGCGCACAGCACGTTAGCTCCTCACGTACCGGTTAGCCCTGTTATTATAAAACTACCCGACGTGTTGGCGCCTACATAGACGCAACATAGCAAATAAAAGCCAGCATCTTATTATCCTGTGCTCGAAGATTTAATTAAACGTGAATATCAGCCTTCCGTTGTCTCATGATTTGCAGATGTCATTCCATGGAGAATACAAAGCAAAGAAATAAAATTAGTAAAGAGCAAATTTGATTGCGTCGCTTTAAAGCTCTCTCGCTTTTATTACTTGACTTCATTCTCGTCAGACTTGTTGTTATGCTTTTCCAAAAAAGTTTGTGTCACGCACCCAGCTACTGAATGCATGAACTTCCTCCGCTGTAGCAAGAGCCCAAGATATGCTGGGACTAGGATTCTGTGCTCTGTGGAGCTGTGCCTGGTACTGCCCGAGGTTGCAATAGAAAAAGAGGTCGGGGGACTCCTCCGCATGAGCAGATAAGAATGGCGTTTTCGTACTGAAAGCGTCGGTGGTAGTCTGCAAAATCGCCATATCCAGAACGTGCAACTAGAAGATATCCTGGTGTGCATCGCCCTAGATGAGCGAGCTCAATGGTAATCTAAGTATTAGGACCAATATCTAATTCTTTGTATCCAGACGGTGCATTTTCTGCCCAATAGAGTGCGACTGAAGGCTTGTATTGGGATTTGACTTCTCTTCTTGCCCTCGCAGTGGAGAGTTCTAAGTGTGGAGCTGGAGCCGCACAGGCGGGCATCGGGTAGTTCTGTAGAGACTGAACCGTCCAGATCGTGATAAAGGTCACGAGCTGTGCTGTTCGGATTAGGTCCTGGTCAACAATGTCTAGCCTAATTGTGCTATATTGCAGACTACTGTTCCAATTATTCATGGGGTCATCATCAGGGTTGTGAGTAGTTTCGGTTTTGGTGTGGGTTGTTAGATTGATACCTGAGCGTGTTGCATAGTAGTCAGACATGCGACTCGAGTAGCACATGCACGGTAAACTTCAACCCCAAACTGATTATACGAATCAGGGTTTAAATGCTACGTCCTGTATGGCTAGCGTGG